ATTTCCCCATTCCCGGCGATCGAGGCCGTTTCCCCTTTTTTATCCTCTTCTTAACCCACCGTTTCCCGTCCCCCCCCCCCCCCCTTTTCCTTCCAATCCCTTCCTCTCTTTCACGCCTGCTACGCAGACTACACAAATTTTCCCTTTCCGTGCTGATCAGGAAAGAAACAGCTCGGGGTTTTTTTTCCCGAAGTGGGGGGGGGGGGGAGGTTTGTGGGAACTCTCTGATGATTCTGTTTGATCAATATCGATATCTCTAAAAACCGGAAAAGGGGATGGGTTCTGGCGATATTGTTTGCTAGCCAGTACCGCGCACTAGATATACTGTAAGAAGTTTCTCAGATAAATGTAACCATAAATTACTGACGGATTCCACCGGTTGTAATCAAATGTCGCCATCGCCCAAACCTGCACTGTCTTATTTTTAACGTTCAGTGAAAGGAGGAAGCAAAAATCTGGTTTTGTGCTGGCTGCAGTGCACCGCCTAAGAGTCAGGAAAATCACGGTCCCATGTTTTCTTTCTTTTAAGGAATTTTCAAATTCTCACCCTCTCCAGTCTCGGATGTTCTTGTTCGTCCAGAGATCAGATTTCCTTCTGAGTCGGTACATCTTTAATAATTAAATGTCATCAAGAGTGCTCAGACATGCATTTTATGGTTGTGAAAACAGAGCGAAGTGAAATTAGAAAAATTTCATAATATCCTTTATGTGGGTGCGATGCTTGAGCGAACGTTCGTTTATTCATGTAGAAGAATGCAATCATTTCAATAGGTTGACTAACAGCTCTTTGTTGAAGAAGTCACAATACTAGTAAATTCAACAACCTAAAACACTTTTAAGACCAAGAGTTGTTTGACCGACGCCAGTCAGCGTCTATGACAGAACCTTTCTAAGATCATAAATGTAACCTTTATTGCTCAGTCCAAAAGATGATTTTTTCGCACAACAAATTCAATGGTTACAGTGCACATATCCGATTATACAGCTATGTATATACGGTCATGTATACACGCTATATCCTTAATTGCAACATCTAGAACGATCTATAATTAATATTATTATCTACAATTTACATCATATCTCACTACCCACCCTCCCCTCGTGTTTCTTTACTTCTTTTTTCCCAACCCCCTCAGGGAAATAAGTTCGTCCCTGATGTAGATTAAAAATATACGCAGCCCGAAGCATGCGATCAATTTAAGTACGACCCTGAGACTTTTTGCACAAAAAGTTTCTCTGTGTTACTCGAGCAAAAGTAATGATTTTTTAAGGATAGAGAATTTTCTTCTTTCGACATCTAAAACGATGTATTTTCAACTCTATGATATGCCAGATGACTTGTCGTCCTACACAGAGAAAGAAAAAGGACTGAAGCGAAACCAAGACAAGGGAGCCCAACTTGTTCTCTTGAAATCAGACAAAATTTTCCCGCGCTTTCAACACGGTCTGCTTTTTCCCGCGCATAACACCAGCTCCAGTTTCTTTAGCCTTGCATCATTTCTAGGTTTCCCGCGCTTGACACTTCCGGCGCCTCCTCACTATGACTAGATGAGAGGCATCGTACAAGTGTATTCCTTTTTGACACCGGCTGTAAGTTTTTCCTTTTGGGCATTGGCCAAATGCTCTTTGTTTCGAGTTTTGACTGTTCCATCAAACTGCGTTTATTTTTTCGACCAGATGCGATTTCCAACCAGTCTCTCACAAAACGACATAACCGACGCTACAAAGAACGATCGAACCATAAACCACGCTGTAAACAGTTAAGGTCACGTGCCCTATCTTCATTCAGAGGGGTCATCGTAATCATGGTAACACGAGAGATCCTCCTGTGGTGTCACGTGACATTTAACATTGTCTTCATCCGTGTCATCGGGATCTGCATAATCATGAAAGTCATTACCACAACTTATTACCTGCTCAGGCGAATCATTTTCATTATCTGGTATCACAATGATGCCTTCTGGTTCGTCATAGTCATGAAAAGCTGACGACAAATTATTTAATTTCCCTTTTGCAGGTGGACAAGGTTTTCTTTCAACAAAGCTCTCTAAAGGAGGAGGAGGTTCTTCGTAATCTTTAGAATCATCTGAGTCAAACGAATCTGAAATTGAAATAAGTTTGATATCACTCGACAGACAACCAATGAAAACTTCTAATGTAACCATTATCAACATGAAACCGCCGCTATTTAGCCATCCAGCCAGAGCAATTATGCGCGATTCTAATATTAAGCTATAAAGAGTGATTCTCACTTTAGACTCTGGATGAACTCTTTAAGTGTGGCGGACCATTTAAATGAAAGCTACTGAGCAGTACTTTCCTGTGGTACTGTTTATCATGCTGTACAAGGTGGTTCTAGCTGTCGAGTCTGTGGATGAAATCTTAAAGTGTGACTAAACAGTACTTTCCTGTGGAACTGTTTATTATACTGTACAAGGTGGTTCTATCTTCTAAGCTTGAGGAGGAATTCCTAAAATGTGAGCATTCAAATGAAAGCTACTGAGCAATACTTTGGCCCTGGTACTGTTTGTTAACTTTTAAGTCTGTAGATGAAATCCTAAAGTGTGAATGTCATAACACTTATTGCCCGATTTTTTCCTCCAGAGCTACCGGTATTAATTATATAGCCTGAGAACAAAGCTGACAATTCGCGATGCTAACACTGGTTTCCCCGCCGGAAATGACATTGGTGGAACGAGGACAGAAATGACGCGTCACTACCCAGATCTGGGTAGTGCTTCTGATTTGGTGAAGCAAATTTCAACCAATCAGGCGCACTACCCACATCTAGCTCGTGACGAGTCATCAGTATGGAATTCTGCACTCATTTCTCAGACGTCATTTTGCGACGAACGATGCATTGGTGGCGTCACAAAATGTATTATACTGTATGTTCCAGCTACTTGTTGAGATAGGCTAAACCAGAATTACTGACCTCACGTCTAAGATAGCAGAACTTGTGATTGTACTAAAAAAGTGTTCTAGTAACTGACCTTCGCTATCAGATCGTTCTTCAAGTTCTGCGTAATCTGGAATCTTTGCTTCATCGATAATTTCCAACTTCTGTAATAACACCAAACAACAATAAGGTAAGTGATCGCGCGAAAAGTACATGCATTAAATCATTCTTTTCATGCAAGCCCACGAAGCCCGCGATCATTATATGAAAACAAAAAAATGATACTCTGAACAATCTATAGGAGGAAAGATACAATTGTCGATAGAAAATTTCAATCCCGTATTGAAACCAAAAAGAATTTCAGGAATCGGGCCTTGGGATTCCTGGGGTATTACCATTTAACTGAACTTCTCTGGTGGAAGTTTTACATAATTAGAGGATATTGCATGGCCGCGCGGAGATACGAAATTTCTCTTCGAGTGTTGGAAAATATTTTACGAGAGAGAGAAGCGAACGAAAGAAATATTTTTCAACAAGAGAGGAAAAATTTCGTGCCAAACCATATCACTTTAATATATAATTTTGATATGTAGCTACAGCAACGTGATCTATTCGGCGCGAGTTCGTCGAGAAAGTTTGGACAGGAGCAAAAAAGAGGAATCAAGAGGGAGGTGAGGGGGGAAGAGATGGAAACCTACTCCTCCCCCTTCGATCTTCCATTTCTTTTCCTCTTGCTCTAACGTTCGCACCATAGTGAGTTTAAGGACCTTACGAAACCACGAGCACGACGGCAAAGGGAACGTCAAAAAGCAGTACGTTTAATGAGCAACACAACAACTCTGCACGTGCATCACGCTTTTTTGTGCATTTCTTTGCCTTCACTGCACAACAACGACGTGAAATGACCAAATTTTAAGTTTACTTGGGAACGGGAACGGCAAGGCGATAAATTCTACCAACTATGTCCGAACTTGAGCGCGTTCCCCTCTCTTCAGCTCCAGCCAAAATCCCCTTCTTTTAAGTGACACGGCGAATTGGGATAATCGCGAAAAAGTTTAACCCTTTCACTGCCAGAGTGCTTGATGGAGTTTTGTAGGGTGACTTTATCTTTTGAGTCTGTGGATGAAATCCTATGATGTGACCATTCAAATGAAAGCTCTCTGCCTGTACTTTCACATGATGCTATTTTTTTGTCAAAATATTAGAAAATGAAATTTGGAAATTTGGTCCAAATTTGCCTTTGGCCTCATTTGGCAGTGAAAGGGTTAAAATGATGCGAAGTCTGTTTTTCAGTGACGTTTTCATGGACGTCGCCGTTGTCGGATCGTAAGGTCCCTAATAACTCGATTGAAAACGCTTGGTACGCGGGCTCCGTGTGAGTGAAGAAACTTACCTGTGAGTTAGCGTCTTTTATTATCAAAGTCTGATACATTCTTTCCTCCTCAGGATCGTCCTTTAGTAAACTAAGATAATTGGATGAGCGAGCGCCTCGATCTGACGTAAGATGCTGATTGGGTTTCTGTCCTATGGAGAGAGTTCGGTAACCTGGCAGACTGTCTGCTCGCTCTCTTGGCTTGGTATTCTCCACTAGAGGCTGATAATCGGGCCAGACCTCCTCGGTTTGTCCGTTCCCATTTTGAATGTGTGTCAATTTGAGCGTACCGGAAGCACCACGTTCGTATAACGGGTTAGTTGCTGTAACAGAAAAAGAAGGTCAATCAACTCAAAGAGCTCTAAGATATCTACGATATTAGGCACTAAGATATCATTGCACTTATAATGTGGTACACAAGTTTGTTCACTTTCTGTCAAAGTGGTCGCGGTCGCTTACGATAGGTTTTTAATTATTGGGCTTTGAATGAAAAAATTTTGGTGTTTTGGATAGGTACTCGCTTTGATTACGAGAGGTGATCACATGGAGGTTGGAATGTATTCACTTTTCCATGTTTAACAAAATAAAATAAGCCTACCTTTATTAAGTTCCTTTTTCACTTGAAAATTTCTGCAAAATAAAATCAGTTAAGACATTAAGCAAAACGGTGCATGTAGCTTTCAAAAATATACAAATAAATCAAGGTTTATTCATCATCATTGATTCATATCGCATAAAGGCCTTGCATTTTCCCGCTGGAATTATGGAGCGTTTTAACATGACGTCACGACGGCGATATTAGGCTGATTTAACAACAGGACGGGAACGTCAGTTGACGACATAAAAGCGCGCGTAAAGGACTAAACTCGACTTCCGGTGCCCAATTTGCCGCTCTGCCATTGGTCAGGCCAGTTGTTTGATTTGCGCGCGCCGTCGTCAACTGACGTTCCCGTTCTTTTGCTAAATCAGCCTATTAACGTTCCAAAACGGTTGTGACTAGAATGGATACCCCAAAGTAAGATTGTCATCGTCACTCAAAATACATGATAGGAGTCTTATAACTTAAAGTAGTAAATCAGAGAAGAAGTGAAACAGAAGAAAACAATAGGTAGTATGTAGGACTTGAACCCACGTCATTTGATGTATAATCCATATCCGTATCCGACTACACCATCAAACGCTAACTGCCAACACCGGTTAATTTTAACGTACTTTACATGGCACTGATCATTACATTATTGAAAGCTAACCGTTTTTAAAAAAGTTCTTAACCCTAATCACTGTATTTCGGTGCTAAACCCTGTATTCAACTCTTTTCCTTGCAAAACTGTCCTTTTCTCTGATTTCCCCACTTTCCTCAAAAATGTGCCCAATAAATTCGCATACATATAGTACAGAGTATAGCGTTGTGTAATAAAGATAAGGTGTCCAACCTCATTTTAAGGTGTCCATTCTAGTCACAACCGTTCCAAACAATGAAACGGCGGCCATATTGGTGTAACAAACCAATCCGGTTGGAGCTGAACTCTTTTCTTACGTAAACGCTTTCTTTTGCTCAAGTATTAAAGCCGTATAGCTGCTGGCCTCGTTAATGAATCTACCCTTTATTAGATGATTTTCACATTTGAAGTTCTATCAAACCACGACTGTAGAAGACTGCCGCTAAACAACACATACAATTCCAAAAATTCCATTTTCTGATTGGTAATTAATTGAAAACTGGAGGATTTTTTTTTAAAAAAGTGAATTTCCGCGTAAACTTGATGGTTGTACATGTGCAAGATAAATAAGCAACAGGCACTTTGCAAGTGCCACAAAATTTTAATTTAGCAAAATAAGAGTTTGCTTTGGTGTGACAGAGTAGGTGATAGTACCTATTTCGTCTCCAGATCAGAAACACCAAAGTTGAACAAGCCAGCAAACCAAAGAGAGCCCCAGCCAGTGAAGCGAGTATAATAAGTACTATGCTGTTTGCGTTGTTCTTTGGCGGGTCATCGAACGGTGTACCACGAACAACACCGAAACCTAAGGAAGTTGGCGCGTGCGCAGTTGATGTAAGGTTTTCTCTTGATGTCACAGTTGTCTGGACGGTTGCTTTTATCGTTGTTTCTGCTGTGGTTTTAGTCGTTTCCGCTGTAGTTTGCACGACCGAGGTAGCTGGTAACCGAGTGCTCTTCAGCAACGCCGGTTTTGAAGTTGGTTTGATGTCAGTAACTGCAAAGACAATAAATTAAGCGGCAATTAAAACACTTCGATTTTTAATTTTCTACATGAGTGTAGCCGGTCAAATAAACATTATAAACGATTTTTACGAGAAAATTTTACTAAGGGCGAAGGATGTGATAACCTAGTGTTAAGCGCGAGGCGCGTTTATTAAGTAAGACGAAAGATTAGGCTGTATGTACGAGAAAGGTCTCACAGACTGTACAATTGCATTACGAAAAGAAATATTTCTTCTTTTGGTTGATTTGAGAAGCTCTTAATACTAAGAAAGAAATCACTAAAAAAAAGCGTCGCTGAACTTACATGATCCAGATTTCTTGAAGTGGACACAAGACTTTAAATCCTTCCCTTGCTTACTGCGACAGAGCAACTTGAGAGAGAAAATGAGCCCGTCATATTGCTTTCCGATGTCTGAGTTCCACTATTATAAAAACACATAAAAAAGTAAATTTAAAAACGTCTTACGTATAGAGCGTTTTCACTCACGTGGCCAGCATCTATGCAAATTGGTTGCAAAAAAAGAAAACGTTTGTGTAACAAAAAAGTTCAGCTCCCATAGGACTGGTTTGGGATACCAATATGGCCGCCGTGACGTCATGTCAAAACACTCTATAAGTCCTAAACATATGATAAAATTATTTTTCTTACAATATTAAGGATCGCCGCTTAGTTGTTACTGCAAAATTCTAGAATCTTTGCCATGTTTTTCAGAATCAAACTGATCGAGAGGGGCAGGCTTGGGCCGACCGGCTGGAACGACCATTGGCGAACATTCAGATTAAGTTACCATGGCAACTCATACATTCTTATTACAAACGAATAAAGGGCTTTATATTCAAAAGAACCTGTGGTGCTGAGTTAGTAAGTGGGCGAATAAACACAAAATTTTAAGTCTTATTAATAGGACGTTTCGATTGCTCAGAGCCCTTTGCGATAAAATGACAGGGGCTTTTTTGCATATGGGCACGGATGTAATTCGGATGTAATAATAATTCGCTGATAAAGAGGAGAAATGTGCGACAGTAGGAGCCCCTTGGCTACCAGTCCCTCATTTTCCTAAGGGGAAGCAAGAGAAAACGCGAGCGCTGCGTAGGAAGTCCCCTCTTGCGAGGAGAAGCGGCACGTGAGTTCACGCGCGCTCGGGAATTTCTGTCCTTCGCTTCTTTTCTTTAGGAAAATAGGGAAATATTTTAGGTGTAGTATATGGAGTGTATATAGTGTATGTGGAGTGTATACAGTCAATTTTCGTCACCTTCAAATAAAGCTTGTCATTATCAAACACAGGATCTTGTACAATTTCAACATTTAGCTTCGCCAGGAAAGGATCTTGAGATGAACAACTTTTCCAACTACCGTTGATGAGATAGAGCGATTCCTCCGGAACTATCTCACAATTATTTAAATTCTTGAGATACCTATAATGAATAAGGGAATCGCCGATATTTTTATTCCAAGAACAAAGGTGTAAGCTTCTATTGCCCGGAGAGCTGAGACTGTCCAATGTTGTAATGACTTCTTTCCCGCATGGAAAATGCGACTCTGACACAACCATGCGATGATCGCAATCTAAAGTTCAAAAAATGCTGTAAGTAAAATATCCGCAGAATATTGGGAAATTCACACTGAAACGTCTGTTCTGGTACGTTAGTAAGGCTCTGTTTTTGTTTAATTGTCGTTGCCCCTTTTCATGTATTTAAGAAATAAACTGAAACAATAAAATACTTTCATAAAATCTTCAAAGCACTGCTCGTTAGCTTTCAAAAGGAAAGTACTCCTAAGTAGCTTTTATTCAAATCCACAGACTCAAAAGTTAGAACCATCGTGTACAGCATAATAAACAGTACCACAGGAAAGTACTGGTCAGTAGCTTTCATTTGATTGGTCACACTTTAGGATTTCATCCACAGACTCAAAAGTTAGAACCACCCTGTACATGTACAGTGTAATAAACAGTACCACAGGAAAGTACTACTCAGTTGCTTTTATTTGAATGGTCACACTTGAGGATTTCATCCACAGACTCAAAAGTTAGAACCACCTTGTACAGCATAATAAACAGTACCACAGGAAAGTACTGCTCAGTAGCTTTCATTTGAATGGTCACACTTTAGGATTTCATCCACAGACTCAAAAGTTAAAAGCACCTTGTACAGCATAATAAACAGTACCACAGGAAAGTGCTGCTCAGTAGCTTTCACTTGAATGGTCACACTTTAGGGTTTCATCAACAGACTCAAAAGTTAGAACCACCGTGAACAGCATAATAAACAGTACCACAAGAAAGAACAGCTCAGTAGCTTTTATTTGAATATTTCATCCAGACCGCTTAAAAGTTAGAAACACCTTGTACAGCATAATAAAAAGTATTTAACCCGATTCACACGAGACTCAAAAGTTACAAAAACCTCAGTATTTCCTGTTTTAGCTTCTTTTTGAACTACGCCTTTTTTATCACGATAATTCCTACATCAACTTTGCTTTCTTTTCGTTCCTTTGATGATTTTTTCACATATTCTGATTGAACGGTTTACCCCTCGCACAAGACAAAATTTCAGCTCGCTATTCAAATGACATGACATTTTTTAAACAGGAAGAAGATTATAACTTTCTCCTTAAAAAAGTTACCAAGTTAAATTTGTTCTCAATAAGTCACAGGAGTGAAAGAAAACTTCAACAGCTACGGCGAGTGGGAAAGGTACCGGGACTTCTCGACGAAAGACAGGAAAAGGTTGGAGAAACCATGTTGGGCTATTAAAATGCATATTCTGTGACTGAAACAATGCCAACGTTACATTTTTTCTACATGAAATATTGATATAAATTACTAACAGTTTCCCACGAAGTCAACGTCAAAACCCATTTATATCGCTAAGAAGGAAGACAGCCAATTAAATTTGTCACTTTTGGTATAACATTTCATTTCAGAGAGCGAAAATAAGGATTTAATTCTGATCATGTTTTTTTAAGCCATTTTTTTTTACTTAAACTTTAAAAGATTTTAATTTCTCCTGAAAAATGACCTACGGGGCATGCGAACTATAATGTAATGATCGTCTTAGAAATTATGCGAAGTGGATTATTGGCAAATGAACTGCATCTGTTGCGGAGAATTTATATCTAAATTTTTTCAGTTCCGTCAAGCCTTTTTCTAAAGAATGGAAATTTTACACCCTTGTCAAATTTAGATACGATTTTAAACCTCGGAACAGGTGGCGGAAACTGACGAATCTACGATTACAAATGTGTTATGACGGATGAAATTTTTAAAGTGATACGCAACGTTGAGAATTAAAACTAGAGTCACGAGTAACTAGTATGGTCTGGAATTGGGGTAAGAACTGGCCTTTTATTAAAATGTGGCCGGCATACAACCACTGTGTACGTTCAAACTAGAATGACCTTGGGAACACCACGTGCCGAGACTACGTTAACACGAATTTGGATAAAATATTCGCGTGCAACATGTATCGAAAGCTAAAGAGCGACTAAATCGAAAATTCAGTTATACAAAACAAAAACAAAAACAAAAATCTTGTGAAATGAACGACAAAGTCGTTTATTAAAGAAATACTGATGTTTCTTCTTAACATTTGACGTTTTGTAAGCTTTATCCTGAGCGACAGTGAGAACATAAGACTGTTGAATTTTTATTTCATTTCAAGAGGTTTAGGAAGATCAATCACCCTGTAAAAATCCTTCAACATTTTTTTTTTAATTATTATTTTTTTTGTTTTTCCAAATCTGTTTACTTTTTTATGAATACAGCAAATGAGCCTTCTTCATAAACAAAATTGGCAGTGAAAATTCGAGCTATCGATCTAGCGTGATTAATGAAGACTCACGGGTGAAGAAGCCAAGGTCCTCACACTGATATGATCTTTAACTGCACGTTTAGTGGCGAAGTTCACTCCACAGTCATGAGCACACGTGGCTTAAAAAAAACATTCGGTCATATAAACTTCACATCTTGCCGAGTTTTTTGTTTTATCCAAAAGTGATCGCCCTACGCCGACTATGCCTGCGCGATAGTTCAAAATGGCGCTGGGTACGTTTAGCATACACAACCAGTTCAAGCCAAGTTTTCAAAGAACAAAAATAGACTCACCTTGAATTCCACTTTGAGCTTTCAGAATTGCCATCAAGCGATCTTCTGAGCTACAATTCCCGTTTTTTAGAAGATACGTGGGAGAGTGACTCGGACAAACACAACTACAACAGTTGACTGCGCAAAATTGCGAATTCTCGTCGTTGAGAACACACGTATCAATGCAAGATTCCGAGGAGTTTGTGTTCTGAAAAACATCGCCTTTCGTGTATCTTGTAATATTAAACGTGCTGCTCCCACTTTGAGCGAGCAAGAAGACGGTATAAAGAAACAAAAATCGCAGAGACCGGATTTCTTGTGGCATATCGATCGGACGAAACACTTCGAGAAAATAGCAGCTCGTAGTAAAGCGCGATTAAGCGTTGTAGGAAACGCGCATAAACGTTCTGTATTGATCTAAAATGAGCGTGCCTTGGTAAATCGGATTTCTTTCTCGAGTGTTTAGTGGTTAGAGCCGGGAAACCTTATAAACGTCTTGGTTGTTTGAAATCAATAATAATCTGTAATATGATAAATTTAGTCTGCGCTCCAACCCCACCCTGTCAATCAACATAGGATATAAATTTTGCTTTCCTGCTCAAGTAATTTACATATTCAACCAAATAGGAGCGGGTTTAAGCACAGTAACGCGTTCAAACCAAACCAGTATACTCAAACTAATTTTCAAGCGCATATTAATAGTTGTTTTAAACACCAAAACTTGTAAAACTGGAGGTTTCTGGAATATTCCTTGCGTGACGTAACGCTCCCACGTGTGTTACAAGGGCATGGCTTCCGGAAACCATTGAAATGTAATGTTTTAACTCCTGGAGACCCACGTTCACGTTTTTAATCTTTTCAAAATCTGTAAAGATTGAAAACATAGACGGAGTTTTTGCGGGATTGATATGAAAAGTGCAAAATCTCAGTAACGTGATTATGTCCATGAATTGTCAACAATGAGTTGTAGAAACTATTTTATCGCGTGAAATACGAAATTGTCGAGACATGTATACGGCAGACTTCAAATCACCAAAAGGTCACATCGTCTCAAAAAAGTTAAGATCAGATGCACGAAAAGGGAAATCAACCTACAATCATCATTCCTCCGACTTGACTTAATGTTTTTACAAGTGATGAAAATTTCAGTTTTGAGTTTTAAACTTCCTGGCTTGCCACAAAACTGAAAATCCCCGTTGGAGGAGATTAATATAAGAGATTTGCACAACTTCAATTTAAATAGTCATAGCATACTTAAAAGCCTAATCGTGTTAGTTTCGTGACTTAATGGTATACAAGATTTAGGTTTGAAGTGTTTGGGGTTTTTATAACCTGTGAGAGCGTTTGCTGATAAGAAAAACAACACCCAAAGCACGTCGTACCTAAAAACGAAATTTATAAATCAAGACGAGGCTGGCGAACACTATTATAAATGTCAAAACAGAAACTAGGAGTCGATAAATGAACGCCTTTAGGAGCTTTACCGTAGATCTGCCCATTCTTGCACTCAACCTTGGGGCTTGTTTTATTTTGGCCCAAAATATTCGGAAGTGAAATTCACTTCTTTAAAGCTGATTTAAAGGTGCTGATTTCAACATGATAAACTTCTTACGTGCTTTATGAACTTTTGAAACTACTCTTTAAAACTCATTCAATTTTTCATTTCTCCCCCTTGAATTGTCATCTTTTTTGTCTCAGTCTTAGGGGAAAGTGGGTCATTTGTCAACTCCGCGGGCTTACATAAAGCTCTCCCTTCTTCAGCAGTACTCTTTCAGAAGTGCTGTCTGTTATATTGTTTAAGGTGATCTGAACTTTAGAATTTGTGGATGTCAATCCTAATGTGTGACCGTTCTTTTCTTTTTCACTCTCTGTTTTTTGCTTGTTTACAGAACTGTTTCCCGAATTTAAGGTTATCACACTGAACTTTGGACCCAGGCACTTTCCAAAATATTTTTGTACCGTGTTGCGATAACGACTATTCCATATTCAAAACAAATCATCATATAACATCATCAGACTCATGCGAAGTTGGCAACCAAAACACATTTTTCACCCGTAAAAGGAACATCAACGCTGTTAAGGAAATTCCCTGTGGTCTGCTCATTTTACTGAAGAATCGAGTCTTTTTTTTCCGTGAGAGGTCGAGCTGGAAAGAATAGGGCATCAAGAGTGCTAAAAAGATGGCCATTCGCGCAGTCACCCATTCGTTTCCATAAACGACTGATAAAGCTAATGGATTTTAGACTTCAAATTTCGGGACAAGGTTTTTAAAACAATTAAACAATTTCAATTTTTGCCTTTGGAGACAAAGAAAGGAAAGTACAAAAGAAGAGACGAAAACCATCGTCTTCTTTCTAACTGGCAAGCTTTTTGCTATTTGAGAAGTGAATGTTTCATTGTTTTATGAAAAAAGAGATCACCACTTTTCATGTTCAGTTTGGGTTCGAAAGATAAACCAAAAGAACACAGGAAAAAATGCCTTAAAACAAGGACAGGTGTGATAAGTCGTACCTAAAAGAAGAAACTTTTTTTAAAAATGAAAAAGTGCTTTCAAATACTTTCACTCAGGCAGATAGTTAAAAACCTCAAAAGGGGCGCTAAAAGAGAAATTTGCAACCTAAATAAAATCAAAGAAGCCGCATATAAAACTGTTTGCATGTTAGTAGGCTGCCTGACAACAAGAGCTTATTTTTTGAGTTCTTAATTGATATTTCGGTGCTAAATGCTTTTTCGGTCAGAACAAATTTTAATTTTTTCCGGCCATCATGAAATCGGGAGAGAAGTTTGTATATTTCCATCCCATCGTATTTAGCGTCTATAAAATTTTTTTGTCACTCCAAATCATAAAGTTTCCATGACAAAAGTGGTTATTTTTATTATATTGAAATGCTATTCCGTAGTTTTTGCCACTATCCAAATTTCAAGCATTCTGTGTAAAAGAATGTTCTTTTATTTCAAAATGTAATCCATAAATTAAAAGAAAGTACCGACTAAAAAGATCAATGTTTTTTTACTGATGTAACTGCAGCTCTTCATTTTAAAACATTGCTACTTAAAAGAAGGCAGCATTAACTTGCATCTCCGATTCAGCGTTTTCTCTTTTTTCTACCATCGCCTAATTTTGGTTGCTTAAACATACATTTAACATTATTTAAATCATTCCATCGTTTCTTTTTTATCGTACGTCCTACCTATGATCTAAATGACTTGTCAGAAACAAAAATCGTTTGGCGCGGATTTTGTCTGAGTGCTGCTTTATGGGTCAAAATGGTGTAAGTGGATGACATCGATCAATATCTTTGCGAACGGCTTTTTGAGATGCCGTAAAAATTCCAGTAAAATCTAGTATTAAGACACCATTTTTTTTCTAAAAGATATTTAATGCCTTCCATTGCTTCACAAAAATTAAAAATTAGACAACTGGGGGAAAGAAACCGATAAGCTAAACTTTTCAAAACTGTGAGAGCGAAAAAAAAAAACAGGACAGCATTTTACTCGTTAGTGTGCCGAAAGTCACATTCAAGAAACTATTAAAAAAATTCAGTCCTCTTGTAAAATACTGAAAACAGATCTGATAGCAAGACAGTATGTACTGCTCAAAAAATAAATAAATAAAAGAGGAATGAGAGAGCTGAGCGTCAGTGCAAAAATATTTAAAACACTTTTCGCTGATTATCCTAAAAGTTGTTGTTTGCATAACCTTTGTTTTTCTGTAAATTTCTCCCAGGTATTACAGTTTACAATCGTTCCAAAAGAAATTGAAGACTGCCAAGTGCAACGTGAAAATGGTGAACTGATAATTTCCACGTGTTTTAAAGTTGATAAAACACTGCCGCTCGTTTTTATAAACCCGCACGAATACACAGCATAAAACATCGTGAAGGCACGAAGAAAGAAAAAAATAAGGCAATTAATGAGTCTAAGACCCTAGATTGCTATCTGGGACAACGGATTATGCGGCGACAACATGGAATGTTCAGGTCAATTGACCTCAGAGACCACATCGTGGCGAGACAAGAGGTGTCAGTCTCACTTTAAAGTCTGTGGGCGAAATCTATGATGTTAGCATTTAAATGAAACCACCGTGGCAGAACTTTTGCGTAGTTTTACTTCTTTTTAGGATTTTACTAAAACAGGAAGTTCTTTTTGATGAGCGCGGAGGGGATTGTTTCTCTGACCACTATTGTATAAGGAATGAATATCGAAAGTCAGTTAAAGGCTATGGCATGCGTGTTCCCTACAAACATAGCACGCTAGGGTCTGGTGAAAGAATTACCTTAATTGTCTGTATCATTAAATATCCCTCAATTATAAATATTTCATGGCAAAAAACTTATCACGCTAGCAAACAAAGGTCACCAGGTGTTTCCCCCCTTCGCGTGCGAACGTTATTTAATAGGGAGTTTTAGCAACGAAGACGCGACGGCACGAGATCTTCAAAAAGCAACAGATTTAATACACAAAACTTTGCACGCGCATTGTACTTTTTGGTGAATTTCTTTGCCGTCACTGTACTACTACGACGTGAGATTTGTTATTTCCCTATGCGAACGTTAACACAGAACGAGAAATTTTCCTTTCCCTTTTTAAACTTGGGTGCGGTCCCCTAGAATTCAACTCCAGGAAAATCACCTACATTTGACACTTTGGCTATGTTTACACTATATCGGAGAGTTTTTGCGCCGGCACGACAATGATATTAGATAGGTCTTCTATTCACAGAGAAAAACGGTGCTTTCGACGCGACTTATTCTGCGCCGCGCCGATCTCGAAAGAGGAGCGTCACAAATCGGATAAGTTCTGTGCTACGCTTTAGTGTAGTATGAATAGGCACTATCATACTATACTCGGACCTTAGCAAAAGTGAATAAGTAGGAAAGAGGACTGGAATCCACTGAGACGGAAGTAACTATTTAGGAGTTAGGATTGGGATTGAGAGTACCAAACCCTCTCGGTCAACCGCTCGGGCAGGATGTTCGGTGTGCTTGAACGACTTGTTCCAGTTCTGTGCCGTTGTTCATACTTTCACTGATAGCTCCTGCAGAGCCTTAATAAAGTGAGATGGAGTAATCACAACGAAGAATTAAAAACAACGCGAATTCATTTTTAGTAGCGACCATTTCACTACCGTCGTGTGGTTTAAACTTTCCTTGAACATTACTACCTAGTTTAGCGTTCGTTTTCAATAAGGGGAGTTCAGCCGCCCATTCAACTGAAATCCATCAAGCAAAATTTATGTATTCTGCAAAGACGGAGTAAAGCAAAATCACTGAGAAGCTAAATGCTAGCCTGAATTTCACCTGCTTACTTCGAGTCGTTATTAAACGTCGTTACTGAGGGAGTAATAACGACTCGAAGTAATCGGATAAAATTCAGGCTGGCTAAATGCATGTTCAGTTGCAAACTTCCTCCGAGCTTGGTTCCGAGTTCGCGAAGCGAAGTTTTGGTTAAAAATTTCTCGTTTTTGGCTTCGATTAGTTGAATTTTTCCT